GAATTCAAACCGTCACCCCCGGGGTTTCCGCTTTGCCGTTTTGCTTGAATATTGTTGAAAGGGAAGCAAATAAACAAACAAACAAACCCTTCTTAGCTAGGCCCGTTTGGGTTTCCTGTTGTAATCATGGGTTTGCTCCTTGTGTTTCCCTGAGGATGAGGGGCAGACGGATCGCAAATCTAAGCGCTTCGTGGATGCCCCCAGTTAAGGTTTTCCTGGCAAAATGAAGAGCCTTAAAGACTCCAAACCCCTCTCTGCAGAGGACCCATTTTTTTTCGTCTACAGCAATATGGACAGCTCTGAGCTGGACGTTGAGCTTGAAGAGTTCACGTAAAAGCTTAAGAGGGAAATCTGTGCGTGGGGTCATCAAGCTGTTTCTACAGATTTAAATATTTATGAAAAGTGCCTCTCGACGAGTACTTAAATTACCTGCCAGAACACAAAATGCAATACCAATATGACAGAATGTTTTAGTGTTGTAGACAACAACTTCAGTTCCTATACAGCTACTTGGTCTCCCTGCAGTTTTCAAAAGAATGAAGAAAATTTTAAATTTTTCACTGTTATTTTTTTCAGATTCCTGTCTTTCACTGTGTGTGTGTGTATGAAATTTCCAAAAGAACAGCAGATTCGCTCAGTGAATGAGATTTACCAAGCTCAATAAATGAATTAGATTCTCTCTGCTAATTTTGATATACTAAATGTGCCCCAAAAAGATAAAACTGCTAGCGTGATTTTATGTGACAAAGAGTGTATAAAGTTTGGGTTACAAAGGCTCTACAAACACTCCCAGCAAGACGGGAAACATATGCTTTAAAAATAGGCTAAGAAATTAGTGTAATGGTTTAAAGCATTTGTTATTAAGTAAAGTTTTAAGAGCATGCTTCTCCATTACATTCATGGAGTTCAGCAAGAACCTTTTCCTTGTCTTACGTTGTCAGTTTCATGGACTCTTAAGTGGTCCTACAGACCAGACAGGCAGACAGGAGTTACTGCCTTTTGTAGGGGGCAGCAGGAGCCGACGTGAGCTGGAGCTATTGAAGATTGCAGCCTCCTCTGTGACGAGATGCACCTTTAAAAGGGGACAGAGAAGGGGGACTTGCTCGTAAGTTGAAGTTGTCATGAACTTGGACAGTTGAGTTATTAAAAGGCTGTTGTAAACTCGGATCCTCAGAGCGGGGGACTTCGGATAGTCTTGAGTGGCCAAACACTTTTTTTTTTTTTTTAAAAAAAAGAAAAAAAAAACAGGAAAGAAAAGAGTAAGAGAGAACGAAGGTGACAGCAGGAGTTCCAGCCTGCATGACATCCGTGTGGAAGATGGATGTGCTGTTGAGATTAGGATGAGTACAAGGAATAGGTCTGGAATCTGAGGGAAAGCAGTAGGTGGGAAACAGAGCCTTGTCTTTTCTGCTTAGATATTGTCCTGATTTCTGTTGGATTGTAGCCTGTCAAAGGGAGTAATCCATAGAATTTCTCATTCCCTTGTTATTCTGTATACTAGTTATATATAAGTTCAGCGATAACCCAGTTTTCATTTTGGATTTCCTTTTTTCTCTCCCCAGTATAGTGTCAGTTTGGTTCCTAATAATACCAGTTATTGTTTACATGGGCTAATGCAGTGTTTTTATCTATTCAAAACATTTCTCTTTATAATGAATTGTTTGCCTAAAGCTGACCAGAATTTTTCTTATTTCCTGCAACTTGCAGCATAAAACTCAGCACACCAGATCCATGTTTCTTTTACTAGTTCACCAGGCCAATTATGGCAGAGAACAAAAAAAGGAAGAGCAGAAGTTGAAAATTTTGAGATGAGACCCCCAACTGGTGTGGACAGGATGCGTGATTCAAGTTATAGGGATAAGCAATGTTGGCATTTGAAGGTCAGCTTGTTGACAGAGCAGAAGCAGTTAATTCTAGCAGGGCCGTAGCTGTGGTCTGTAATGGAAAGGGAGAAGGTGGTGAAGAGCAGAGACATGAGTCTTGTGTGATTTAGTGCTCCATGCCAATGGAACATTGCTACTTAAAATTAAATCAGTGGCTTCTTGAAATTCAGACCATGTGTAAGGTTGACTTTTATTTAAGAAATAGGTAATTTGCTGCTAAGTATGTTCTTAGAAAAGTTACCATTTGTTTGATTTTTTTGGAGAGCTAGGTTTTTGTTGAGGCAGATTGGTAGTTTCATGGGGCTGAATGTGATGGGAGAAGCCATATTTCCTACTAGCCTAACTGCAAATATGCCTAGAAAACACAGATGAGTTTTTGGGCCTACTGGCTTTCTTGGGATTTGAAAGAGAGCAGAAACTTTCAAGCTAATATTGTCCTTAAGTATTTCAATCTCACTATGGTATAGCAATAGGAATGAGAAGATGAAAATTGCAAGCTGCTTTTTGTGGTGTAGTTTTCCCTAGCGTTGAACAGAACGGCTTTGGTATCCTCTGGTGAATCGTGTTTCTACAGGTCCTGCTGACTAAACTTTCTCTGACATTTTGGGAGCTGGGATTTCATGCCTGTTTTCATATGTCTGAGTGGCCCTGTTATGGCTCTATAGTTTATCTGTCCTTCTGTTTTCTCTTCCACGTGCTTTGTGTGTAAACTGCATTCAAAATGTTGTATGTGTTGTTTCTAGACTACTGGGTTCAAGATGCCGGGGGCCGCGGCCATCTCGTTCAGCGGTGTGGATTCTTCTCTTTCATCGCTGAGAAACTGCCAGTCTTACATCAACACTGGAATGGATATTGCTACTCGTGTTGCCCTTGACCTTGTGGAAAGTTTCAGTAAGTAATTTCTTTGAGTACTTTATCTTGCTTATATTTCCTCTTGAGCCTCACACGTGAGTCCTAGGCCTGCATGTTCTGACTTAGTTACAGTCACTATCTATCTTCGTTATAGAAACAGCTGCTCTTCTGACTCTGTAGGTTGTTACCATTCCAATCACCTCATTGTCTTAAATGATAAATTCAGTGAAAATATAAACACCAGGCAAACGTTGTACTACCTTTTGTAATACAAAAGACTAATTACATTCCAGTGTTTGTTATCTTACAGCCTTGTAGAAATTTTAACAGTGCTGAAACAGATGGAGAAAGCCTCTTAAAAGGGTGAAAAAAATGATTTTCATTCTAATAATGCCTCTTGTGTGTGTTTTATTTGATGTTTAGGGCAAGTTACGTTAAAATAATACTATTGATTTTGAATACAAAACTGGAGACATATATAAGCTATGCCATTTTTTCCTAAATGTTGTCTCCTCCTACTGAAAATTAGACTGATTTAGGTGCTTCAATTTGGACACTTGCAGATGTACTCATAATCTGTGATCACATCTGGCAGTCTTGTCATTGCTGTTTTATGACAACAAGTGCATTGCAAAATTGCTTTTCAAAGACAAGCATTTAGCCTGCTGTCACTACAGCTCCTTGGATCTACTATAAAGTTTTCACAAGGAAAATTGAAACCTTCCATGCTCCGAAACCCTAAGCAATAATTTTAATTATAAGTGGAGAGTGAGTGTCCCCTAAAACAATGTAGCCAACTCAACTAAGCCAAAGTTTATGTTAAATCAAGATGGACAGTTTTTGGTTTGTATATTCAGTGTTCTCTGACCTTTTTATCCATATAAGTGTCAGAAAAAATTGACGCCACTCTGCTGCAGTGGTAGAGGAAAACTTACCTGAATACTTACCTGGGAATTCCTTTTGCATCAAGACTGGTATTATCAATTCTCTTTCCTCTCTGCATTTGAAGTTACCATCTCTGCTAATTTACCATAAGAGATGCATGGAAATTTGCCTATGCTCAATTCTGGTGATCCCAAGACGTCAGAATGATCCGCAGAAGGCAACAAAAGCTAAAGGTTTTGAGTAATTTCATCCTTTAACGGAAGTTGAATCCAGCTCCTATTGCAGTCACATTTGGAAAGGTGGAAGGATACTTGAACTCCACTAAGCTGTTTGCAGATGAAGATGTGTGCTGTGTAATCCTAGATACTTTTATCTTCCTCAATTACTTAACTTCTGGCATATTAGCTTTAAATATAACCTCCACATTACTGTGACCATTTCATTTGGTAACCAAAATGGCCATATTTAGTGCTCAATCCAGAGAGGAGATCACTTGAAATTTTTACAATCAATGTTAACGACTCAGTTATTTCATAGACTTCATTTGATTTTAGCGTGGGCATATTCCTTGTGCAATCCCTATTCAAATGAGTGAACCTCCCTTATCTTCCATTTTAAGGTTTGATTTTTCCCTCCGCTTAAATGTCATCATCTATTTGACATGGAATTTAGGTTGTTTTGTTCCATATTAGTGTCATCAGGAAAGAAACAGGATTTCTGTGGCAAGATCTACTTTTGGCAAATATGTACTGTATTTTTATTTTTCATAGTGTTTTAGAATGAGATTCATTCAATCTGCCTGACTTGACAGGTTAGCTCTTACCTCCAACTCATGTGTGACAATTTCTATATCTGTAGAATTCACTTCTAAAGGACATGAAAGAAAAACAGGTCAGGGTTTCTGTGGTTTTGAATGTACATAAGCTATAAAGCAAGTTCACAACGGTTCAGCTGGACTGAAAATCTCAGTTCACTAGGGGGCAGGAGAAGACAGGAAGAAAGCAGTAATTCCATGAAGTTACCAACCATGCTGGGAAGAAACTGGCTTGTTTGGGTGGTGTTGATCTCCCTGAGTAGCACTGATCCTCTCTGGCTAAATCATCCGCAAAGAGGTCACTCCTCATGGAAGTTGCAAAAACTGGAATGAGTGTGAATTTAAGCTATTTAAACAGATGGTGGCAGTGTCATATGGAATGAAAAGGGAGCAAAAGGGCTTGCTAGACTGTGATAGCAGAGGGTGCTGAGAGGAAGAGGTGCCAAACTGGTGGGCATGAAGTCCCCCAGGGTGTTCAGTGACTTAGCGCAATCTTGTTAGTGCTTCAGCCTTGCCTTTCTTCAGGCTATCTCAGGTGCTCTGCAAACACTAGTTAAGCCTCTCAGCTCCCTGTGAGGTAAATGATAACTTTTTCCATCACAGACATAAAGCAGTCTTTTGGGTAAGCAATGACTGCTGTTTAAAAACGTATTGTAACTATGTAATAATCCAAAAGAGAAAAAGAAATACTTTTCCTCTGAGTGAAGCAACAGACTAACTAGAGAGGACAGAACTCTTATTTGAGTTAGACATCAGGGACGTCTGATTAAACTAGTGACTCATGAATAAATAGTACAATAGATCTTTCACACCTTTATTTTCATACAGAGCCTGAAAGTTTCAGATCTGAGTCAAACACTGGCTTTTCCTTTAAGCAGTGATTTCACATGGAGAGTGTCTTTTTCTTCTGAACATTAACTGGGCTCAGATCTGATTAACTAGGTATTTTTCCTTATAGCTTTTGATTCCCCATTCTGAAAAAATAAAATATGTCACTGGACACAGCTATTTGGAGGATCATATACAAGTATAATAAAAATGAGGGAGGAGGAAGAGCTAGATTAAATAATTAAACATTACAGCTCTGCAGTAAATACTGGACAGAGAAATCTGAAAAAGTGAAGGAATCGGTTCCACTGGTATAAGCTGCAGTTCAAATGACTCTGAAGGGCTAAAGATCTGATCTCCCTGTTATTTTGAAATGTAGAGCAGAATCTAGTTTAATTCTCTGTGATCTTGCTTCCCCATTTCATGTGAATGGAAAGGTTTAAGACCCAGTATTTCTAAGTGGATTCACTTTCATGTCTACTTAGGCATGTAGTTTTCTTGACCTACATTTGAAGTCTACAGTAATAAACTCAGAATGATTTCTTCTCATTTAAGCCATTATTAAATGTTGTGAGATGTTTTGGGATTCCTAGTGACAGGTAATAGGGAAGTACAGGTATTTTTACTACGGCAATGTAAAGAATAGCAAGTCCACTTGAACTTTGTTCTAATCCTGCATAGGTTTTTTTCAAAGAGTTTACAAATGTTAAATATTCAGGTCAGGCATTGCCTATTTGTGAACATTACAATCTCTAGCAAAATGAGGCAATGGGGCTGTTCAGGATTTCTATTACCTGCTCTTAATTTAGGTGAACCTGATCCAGAAAACCTTTTTTTTTTTGAATTAACTTTGTTAATGTGCGTGAAGTTACGTGAATGATTAAGATTTGCCAGTCTACTGAGAATTTTTAGACTTTTGCACTGAACATCTTTGCGATGTTAACAAATAGACAAAGTTGAAAAACACTCTGTAAGAAGTTAAGGATTTGTATCTATATATCTAGAGGTGAAAATTGGTGCTGCCAAATGGAATGACAAAGGGAAACAGCTTATTTGGAAACTCCTTGCTTAAAATGAGTTAAAAAGGTAGGTCCCATTCCAGTTTTTGTGCTCATTATGATTATCTTTAGATGCTCCCAGTTGTCTAAAGTCATATTTCTCTCTTCCAAAAATACCCTTGTCATACAAAAAACATTTTAAGCTGTTTAGACCTTGTAAGCAGGAAAACAGACTGTAGGCAGTTAGTTTTGGTTTATCATCATGTCTGTGCTCAAAATTCACATGCATGTTCTGTGTCCTTGTCCAGCCAAACACTGTGGAAAGCATCGATTTAAATTCTTGGATGGTCCTCCAGCTTTTGGAATGGTATGTGTGTTTTAACACTTAACCACATGCTTTTACCCTTTGCTGGATTAGAGACCAAATAGGCACAAGAATTTGAAGGTGACATTGCTAGAAATCAATTATAAATGCACTTAAAATCAAGGTTTTTTCACTTCTTTTTAAGGGTGTATATATATTATAAATCTCACAAATGGTTGTAAATTCTTTTTTCTGTCTCAAAATTTGGCTTTGGATAACAAATAAGACTGACTTTTTTTTTGTTAACTATTAGGCTGGGCTAAAGTCTGCTGTAATTTGTATCTTAATAAATTTAGTCTCAGTGTTCTTTGAGCTTTAGTAGTGGGACTAGTAAAAGAATTCACTGAGTCGCTACTTGCTTGTTGATTGCTCTTAATTGTAAAGCTCCTAAGACTGAGCTTTAGGTTCCCTACTGTGCTCTCTGCAGTTGGGAAACAACTGTTTGCGCTGCTGAAGTAGCTGCTGTTAGTTGCTAAGATGTCTTTGCTTAAACTTAGTGTGCTCACATAGAGCTGTGCACATCTGTGAAACAGCTGAAGTTGTGGTAAGTCTTGCTCGCTGTTTTTGGGTTCGGTATAACCTGCCTTAGGTGGTGACCGAACATGCTGGGAGGGAGATACCAATGATACTGGGAGGAGTGGCCGACACTCCCGAGGACTCTGCTGCCATTCAGAGGGACCCAGACAGGATGGAGAGTTGGGCAGAGAGGAACCTCATGAGGTTCAACAAGGACAAGGGCAGGGTCCTGCACCTGGGAGGAATAACCCCAGGCACCAGTGCAGATCAGGGGGTGATCTGCTGGAAAGCAGCTCCGTGGAGAAGGATTTGGGAGTCCTGGTTGACAACAGGTTAACCATGAGGCAGCAATGTGCCCTCGTGGCCAAGAAGGCCAATGGGATCCTGGCTGCAGCAGGAGGGTGTTGACAGCAGAAAAAAAAGCCCTCTGTCTCAGCGCTGGTGAGGCCGCACCTGGAGTATTGGGTGCAGGTCTGGGCTCCCCATGACAAGGACATTGAGCTTCTAGAGAGTGTCCAGAGGAGAGCCACGAAGATGGTTAAGGGACTGGAACATGTGTCATATGAGGAAAGCAAGCTGGGCCAGTCTGGAGAAGAGAAGGCTGAGAGGAGATTTGATTAACATGGTCAAGTAC